TATATATGTATGTAATCTTTCCATTTTAATCCATGTAAATTTTAAAAATGAGCTAAAATAAATCTCTGAAAATTTTTAATTATATATATATATACTTCAAATTAAGTTCAAACCATACAGGAAGCAAATGAAACTCCATAAATTACAAACTTACACTTGACTTAACACGAATCCAAATCAACACACGTGTGCACGCATGCACGCCACACTTAAAGCACACATACAGAGATAAGAAAAAATGGGGACATGCTCGCAAATTCATTCATCTCCATCATAAAGCACTTCATTTGTACATGGCCGGTTGCGTTGGAGCAGCAGTCGGAGCACCAGTAAATCCTACATGCACAAAAATTAGAATTTACTATAAAAAAAATTATAAATAAAATATATTTTTTGTTGGTATGTATGTAAAAATTAAATTTTAGGCATCAGATGTGTAAATACGTAAATTTGAGGGATATGTATGTTAGTTAAACAAAAAAAATAATAAAAAAATAAAAGGTCATTTCTGTGAAAAAATATTACATCAAAGGTGTTGATACAGTTTTGTATTAGGACTTCAATCACGACGATCTGACGATCTGCCAGACCCACCCATGTATTAACTTAATTTTTTTTTACTAAGGTGAGTCTGCTTGTACAGGTCACGGACCTTGATTGGAGTTTTGATACAAAACTACTTCAAGACTCCTCCTGATGCAATATTTTTTTCATTTTTGTGTTGTTTGATTGGACTTCTATCGCAAGACAAAATTATAAATTTGAATTGTTTGTGTAATTACCAAAATACCAAATATTAGCAAGTAATTAGTAACATAATCAAATTCTGAGAAATTAAAAAGAAAATTGAAAAGATGATAAAGGTTATATGTATAAATAATTTAATTCACCTTTCGAAGGGTCAAGCCCTCTGTTCTTCAGTTCAGCATACTCTTGGCAAAGAGCACAAGGCTCGCAGAACATATGGACACAGCAATCGCTACACGGCTCAGATTCCAACCCATATTTGGACCTCATCTTCTTCCTATATGCGCATGAATAAAGACACTGGCATTGAACGGACATCAGCAGCGCATAAATGCAGCAGGCAGCTGTGCAGGCTGAAATACAACCAGATAAATTACAATATGTCATGGACACCACACAACTCTCATGTATTTACATATTCACATTTATATTTATATTTATAATTTCAACTTTTTAAAATCAATTTTGATTTTCAATTGAATTTGTATATTAATTTAATGAATATAAAAGTGTGTTTCTGATTAAAGTTTAGGTATCGGCCTTTAAATTTGTTTGATGTGTGGAATATAAGTATAATTAATCAAAATTTGCTTTGTAATTATTTTAAAATATATTTAAAATTCTTGAAGATGGAATATTAATTTTTTATTTTAATTTTAATTTTGTTTGCGTTTACAGCTTGGTTTTACCCTGTCATGGTCTATCAAAAAATCATTAAAAATAATTGGTTTTGAGGAAAGCGTAAAACTATTTTAATATATAAAATTAAGGGTCTGTTTGGGTCAGATAATAACTGCAGGGGGCATTTTTCAAAACGCCGTGGTACCGTTTGGAATGCATGTTTAGTCCACTTATCCGAAAACGCGGTTTCATTTTTACACTAAACGCAGGCCGGTAGAACCTCGCCGTCGACTCGCTGGCCGTGTTTCAGGATAAGCTGTTTATTCTTAAACACAGAAGCTGCCCCAAACCCACCCTACGTTTGATAAGGACTAACTTACAAATTATGTTTAGCTATAAAGTTTTTGAAGATTTGCATATACAATTCAATTATTATGTATTTACATATCTAACTCCTAACATTTAATTTTTACATATATATATCTTATTTATATAAAATCCAATTTAAATGACCAATCTCATCATAGCTTTATAAACTTAATTTAGTGAAGCAATAGTGTGCTTACATGTCTGGCCGTCGTCCACAACCTCCGCTATGCGTCCGAAGGTGACACAAGGAAGGCACCACGTTAAGCAACCTATATAAAAAAAGTATTATTAAGCACAATATCCATCAAAA